TTTTTTAAAACTCGGTTTTCTATATATAATAAACAAATAGTTTTAGAGCAGACGCTCCTTAAATAATAGAAAAAGTAATAAAGAGGCATCGTGATAAAAACTTACATAGTTTCCTGCTAGATGAGTTCTCAGAAAGATAGTCGGTTGAAGTACAGACCAATTGAAATATATGTTGAGGTATACCCATAGACTGGTCGTCAATTAGAACAATATCAAAGCCATCCAAATAGGCATCAAGAAGAGCGCTAACGTTGAAATTTAAAAAACCTATTTTTAACACCACACCCTTGTTCGCCACACCAGTATCCATATCCAAATCTGTAACTCCCTTTAAATAGAGTATACGGCGATCAAAAATAAGGTTGATATATTAAGAAAAGAAGGATAGAAAAACAGGCTAAAAATTTTGTTTACAAACTTCTTAAATCACAGTTTTAGCTAGTCTAGGCACCATAACCCAACCACTTATTGTAAGGACGATTTCGGAAAACGAGAATACAAATTAACGCAGAAGGCAACTATTTAATATAATTTGATTTAGAAATCAAAATAAAAACTAACCTCCCAGGCTGTCTCCCATCAAGATAACATTAGTTCTGTCAGACAAATTTTTGAAGACCGGAAGATTCGTATCTAGCACTGACGCGTTCTTGCAAAAAGTGTGGATAAGTGGTTCAAGAAACCTTTTTACATAACCGTTTTGATCAAACTCCTTAAAACAACAAAATAAGCCGAAAAAAAGTTCCAATCTACAAAATATAACTCCAAGTAATTATCAAGAGACTTTCATTTATGACATCCAAGCACAAACTTCGAGCTTCAGATACCGCTCATAATTAATAATAAAAGAATAATAAAAAGAAAATATAAGTCAAATCTATAAAAACACACCATTAAATTTGAAATTATATGAACGTTCTCTAAAACTTTGCCAAATTTCTGCTTCAAAAAAATTTCGATCACGTTACCAATACCGGCAGAAAATATTATTAAAGGAACATTGCATGAATCCAAGGTTTCGAAAAATGCCATCGTCCCATCCCTAAATCAAACGAATGTCATGACCCAGAAGTCATCCGAAAGAAAGAAAATATGCGTCTATTCTCCCTCTTGACAATTTTTCTGTTACATTTCTAACTTAGCACTTACCTTAGCTCAATTTTTGAATCCCGCACACATTGCTCCACAACCTCCCGCGTTAGCTTGGCTTCAACAATATAACTATGAGCTGCACGCCACCTAAACAGGACGATAAAAAACACTGTATGAATAAAAGCCAAGCAACAGTTGTAATTCTCACTATCAGAAACAAACCATTCTTCCATATAAGGTGTCTTCTCCTCTATCGACATGCATGGGTCATACTCGATAGTCACATACTTATCTTTCAGTACATTACACTTCTCACTCAGTAATAAACAAGGAGCAGAATTCGAGGTTTCGAAAACCCCGTAAGATGTCCAACATTTTTCACCGTTTGAGTTACGATATCGCGATATTGTGTAATCAAAGTCCGATATAACCTAAAAAATCCATTATTAATTTATAAACAAGACAAACTACTTAATCACAAGTTTAATTTCTTCAGCCATCGTAATATGTCAGTCTTAACAGCCTGAAAAAAAATCCTTATCGATAATATAAAAAGCGTGACCTACCATCAGTTTCTGAACTCCATCTTCAATGATCCTTTTGATCTTCTTTTCCACTGCTGCAATATCCCTGCAGCGTAGTTTTGGATTGTTCAACAGAAAGTCCATTATTGTGGATACTTCAGAAGAAACACCTGTCTGTGAACAGTCTGATATCACTTTGAAATCTTTATCTGTCAACAACAGCACAACGCGTTCACTACGCCGTCAAAATATAAGGAAACGTAGATAAGCTCAAGCAGCAACTAATAAGACCAATAAAAAAAGGCACAAAATCTTATCTGGGCTGTTGTCTTACAACTGGCTTACATGAATCAATAGACTACTCTAAGAATCATTCCAGAAAAAAAAAAAAAAAAGGTAGAAACCCAACACGAGAATGAACATTGAACGTTTGAAGTTTTCAAATAATTTTGAGACTTACTTAAATTATTTTAAAACTACAAGCAGTTAGTCAAATCGCTATTAAATAGTAAAAAAGACGTTTTCAGTACCATCTTAAGAGATAACTGAGGAGGAACACGTCAACTTGCACATTAAGAGGTCCCACCAAACACACTTTCAAAGCTGCTTTAAGGTCAAAAAAGAAAAATAATGATAAGAACTTTTCATTACCAACGGTAGCAATAATCTATATACAGAACACCAAACTAATATCATAAGTAAAAGATAAAAAAAATACCACAACTACGCGAAATAACAGATGCCCTGATAAAAAGATTTGCCTGACTGCAACTCTTTTAAACTCGTGCTACTGCATAGAGGGGAGTGTTTTATCATGAATATTTTTAGCTGATTTCGTTCATCTTTCAGCAATAAAATGAATCTCTTCTTTCCCTGGTAGAGTAAACTAACAATCACGTTGCAAAACATTAAAGGCTTGGAAAAAAGAAAGTAAATGTCATAAAAATCTTATAAATAAACTGGCTTTGTAACCTTTTGCCTGTCAAGTACAACCAAGAAAAGGTAGCTGGAGACCCACATGTCCAATTAAACAGTCTATCTATCAGTGATTCCAATAAAAATTAAAAACTTACTGCAAGGATTACTACAGAATTATAAAGTTATATTCGAAGATTGTTCAGATAGATCGTGACATCTTAAGTATAAGCTTAACTTCCACTACTAAGTTCAGTTCGCATACAAGTTGCATGTTACGTGGCAAAATAAAGTGGTAAGACAAAAAAACTACAGGATTCCACATACACATTTCCCTCAGTGTCAGTCAGTCAGTTGTAATGTCGCTACAATAATTTCTCTGCGACAGAAATACTACTAAACTGATAGAAGTACAGCAAAAGATATTTGGAAAAAAGTAACCTCCACATAAAAAATGCCGTTATATACGGGTCGCCATCGATCAAAAGTACTCCCTACCATGGTTATAATTAAACTGTATAAATAGACCCTACAACAACTCTACACCAACCTAATTTACGCTACTTCTACATAATGCTCACAACAGTGCTTGTCGTACAGTTGCTACAATTCTTGAATTCTAAGGAAAACCTTTACAGAGCTTCAGTTAATTCACTGTGTTATCCCCCAAACCTCTGTGGTAGCTGGGTGGATTGATACGTATTTAAATACTAATCATACAGTCTCTACTGAAAACATGGCTGACAAGGCGACCTAAGCGATTATTTGGCAATGATAAATCAAAGTTTCAGCA